CACACCAGCCCCTTCCCCACCTTTCATCAGCCCCCAAATGGCATCTGCAGAGGATCAGGCCAATTAAAGTAATGACACCAAGCCAGGGTATTCTCTCTCTGGGGTGCAGGCTGACATGACAGAGAAAGAAAAATAAATCCAACACCAAAAACCTCTTTATCCCCAGATTTGATTGATCCAAACCCGTGCTAACCAGTGTAGGCACCTGATAATGAGTCTGGGATAATCCATCCCATTCTATGGGACTGGAAACCATTCTGTGATAATCCACCCCAATTTGTAGCAAGATTGTCGCCTTTAAAAATACAAACCACTCTGTATTTTCTTCTCATTAAAGGTGCTGCTGATGTCCTCTGCTCCACAGCAAAGCTTCAAGCATGGGAGAGAGAGAAGGAGGCTACTTTCTGCTCATGAATGGCTACCAAACATGCCCAGCAGATGAAGGTGTTGGTGCTACCCCACGCCGGGGCTCGGAGCCAGCAAAGGGAGGGAGTGGACAAAGCAAACAGCTCATTCCAGGCCCCAGCAAGGACCCCGGCTCGTTTCACTGTGATATACACTAAGACTCAACTCACACCCAGGGTCTGAAATCTCTTTATTTCCCTCTCTGCACACTTGGAATGAGACGGGCCCAGCCCCGACCTGGCAGAGTCTTTTACTGACCTTGTTGATGTGTCAGCGGCGATGGCAGTCGGCTTGCTTCAGAGGGACCATCAAAACAAAACAATTCAGTGCAATTAATTCCTTCTCCCAGGGGAAGGGCTGGATGAGGTTAAGTGATTTGCCCCAGGATCCTTCAGCAGAGCAGGTAGAAACCAGGCAGCATCGGGAGTTTCACATCTCTGCTATCTCCCAGGGCCGTTCCATGTCCACCCACAGCGACCAGCATCGTCCCTCCAGGCTCAGTCTCTCTGTCCTGGTGTCCAGCCCTGTTGTGCTCCCCCTGAACATCACCCCAAGCCCATTCTGAGCACAGCCCCACAGACCTCAGCAGTTTGTTCTTCTGGAGTTTAAGATGGTCTAAATGGAGCTACACCAAGGACTCTGTAGCGCTGGGGTGTGTGGCCAGGAGATATGGCCAGTGCCAGACCCTCACAGAATCTTCTAGGTTGGAAGGGACCTTAAAGATCATCTTGTCCAACTGTCAACCTAACTGACAAAAATAGACACCCACACAACAAACAAGGAGCATCATCACTAAACCAGACCTCCCAGCACTACATCAACCCTCGTGTGTGAGGAAGGATTTTCCACCTCCCCCTGGCTTCCCCGAGCACTGACCTGTTCCCAGCGCCACACCATGCAGGGGGGAGGCAGGTCCCTGCGCCAGCCCCAGCTGGAGATGTGTCCCCATCCCTCCTCTCCTGCCCCAGGTAAGGAAAACACCAGTGCCTTCCTCTTCCCCCAGCTGTGAACCCCAAAACTGAACATGGTGCTGGGGTAACCACCCTCGCACCGGAGGCACAGAAGCTCTCTGTGGTGTGGTGACATTTTGGCAGCTGCCTCTCCCCATCATCTCCCCGGGCAGTGGAGTCGAGCTGTTCCTGCAGCCCTAAGCCCTGAACATCCCCATCCAAATCCCTTGGTGGATGCTCTGGGCAGCAGTGAGGAACCCAAATTCTCTCCCAGGGTTCATTTACCCCTCTAAGCCCTGAACATCCCCATCCAAATCCCTCAGTGGATGAGGCAGCTCTCGGCAGCAGTGAGGAACCCAAATTCTCTCCTGGGGTTCATTTGTCCCCCAAGGCCTGGCAGCAGCAAGACACTGATGCGACTGTTTAATTGTGGTTTTTTTATCAGGTAAGGACAGCGGGATTACTGGAGCCCAGCAAAGGGCTGGTGGGGGCTATAAATCACAGCCCAAGCTTGCGGTGACAGGGACAGCGCCACGTGTGGGATGAAGGCTCACAGGGAGCACCAGACGTGGTCACCAACAGGTACGTGACGTTACTCCTGCAGAAACACCCCAGTCCCTGGCAGGGTGCTGCTCTCCCTGCTCAGCCCCACACCTCCAGGGAGGGACCTCCCCTCCGTGGGGTGAAGCTGCGCATCCGAATTCCCCCGAGCTTTCCAGGCGGTTCTTTGGGCAAAGTCCACATCTAAGATTAATTGCGTTCGTAACAAGGAACAAAGCAAACACCCATCACGGAGCCAACCTGCTCCAGACCGATGGCGTAAATGCCCATCTGACTCAAGCGGTGACATGATGAATGGGGATTTTATTTCCTCCTCTCTGAGTCACGGGGGAAGGAGCCAGATATGTGTGTTGTTTTTTTTTTTCAAAGGACACAAGAAAGAAAAGGAAACGTGGTCGGGACAAGAAGCCAAGATCTCGCAGTTCCACCAAGGGCTTAGAAATAATCTTCTTGATAAATTTATTTGGATTGCAGCAGCGCGTACGCTGCGGGCAGCTCTCTAAACACGGGGACAGAAACTCCTCCACCTTCTCTAAACCTCGCAGCCTGCGGCGGCACAGCGGTGCCAGGGGAATGACGTCCCAACACCCCGATGTGCCCACAGCGGGAGGGAGAACTGAGCATAAACCTCCTGAGTCACGGCTTGGGAGCTCGCAGGAGCGGCCGCGGTCCTCCTGGCAGCCACATTTGCCCTGCAGACGGGGAGAACAACAATCCTGCGGGGCAGAACCAGAGCCAAGGTTTCCCAAATCTTCCCATTCCGGAGCCGGTTATCTGCGGCACACGCTCTACCTGCTCAGGCTGAAATTCTGGTATTTCTGAACACAGGGTATTTGATTTTGCAATTTTAATAATCGCCTCTTCAGCCCAGTGGTTTTTCTGTGTAACAATCACTAGAAAACACTCTTCAGCCTCCTACTAAGTTACGATAAAAGCTATTTAGAGACAAAAGTTTGGGCACAAAATAGGGGCAGATATTTGAAGGCTGGAGCCATCCCTCCGCCTGCAGCCCAAGGGTCACCGGAGCCCACCCAGACCCCGCATGGCATCTCTCTGAGCATCAACACTGCTGAGATTTTCCCTTTTTAAATCCTTTACATCTATCTCAGCTGTGAATTGCAGGATTTTGAGGTGACCTGCATCACTCCCCTGGCTGCTGAGGATGAGCATCGGGACGCAAAGGAGCCACACAGGGCAGCAAAGGAGCCACACAGGGCAGCAAAGGAGCCACACAAGGCAGCAAAGGAGCCACGCAGGGCAGTAAAGGAGCCACACAGGGCAGCAAAGGAGCCACACAAGGCAGCAAAGGAGCCACACAGGGCAGCAAAGGAGCCACACAAGGCAGCAAAGGAGCCACACAAGGCAGCAAAGGAGCCACGAGGCCACCGGGGTGGGTAAAACAGGAGCTGCTTCCCCACCGCCTCCAAAGGAGACACAGGAGGGATTTCCATGATTCAGGTTTCTTTTACTAATTGAACATGCTTGCTCTGGGTAAGCAAATGAGCAATTAGCAGGGCTGCATCTGTGATGTCATTTAAATTCAAATGACACCCTGGCTGCTCATTAATCGCGGGGATGTGCAGCTCAAGACAATAAACCCAAACCCTCTGCTGGCAACAGGCAGAAAGCCCACTCTCTGCACACCCCCTGTCCCGGGAGGACGGGGACATGTGTCCAGCCACACTGGGCTGGCTTTGGGGGACTCACCCCCGGGGCAGACAGATTTTGGGCTCCCTGAACATCTTGGCAACCCTCTCCTGGGGTCTGTACGGGAAGGTCCCGCTGCATCCCCCCTGTGCCACACCATCTGCCTTGGCATTGTAGGGCTCATCCACTCCTCACGTCGGGAGACACTTTGCATCAATGGGCACAGTCTGGGGGAAAATTCAATGTGTGCAACTGCTCAGCTCTGGCACAGCAGGACAAGTCCCTATTTCTGGCACAGAAATCCCATTCGAGGTTTGGTTCCATCCACTTGCATCCCTCCAAAGAGGTCCCATCCCACCAAGGACGAAGCACCAAGGGGTTATTTCCTTGCCGGTGGCTCCATCTCAGCTCCTACACACCGTGGGAAGCTGGAGCAGCAAGCCCACCCCAAGGCAGGATGGTGGCAGCTCATCTGTCCTTGGTCCCACCACCCAAGGTCCAACACATGGCACGTCACCGCGGGGGCCACCACGGCTGGGGAACTCTGCTCCTTCCTTTTTGCATCCTCAATGTCTCCATCTCCAGGGAATATGCAGGCAGGGAACGGAGGTGGCTGCCACGGGGACACTGATGGGCCAGAGTGGCCACCACAGGAGGAGCTGGAGAAGGGGCTGGTGCCACCTGAGTTCTGCAGGCAAATCCCCACCTGCAATCAGCCAAGATAAACCAGCGCTGCTGGTTCCATCCAAACTCCACCTCGGTTCCTCCTTGACATGGAGGAGACCCACGTGGCACCATTCCAGGATCCACCCAGCTGGGAAACTGGTGTCCAGCACAGACAGAAGTGGGGTCGCAGAGCTCCGAGCCCCCCCAGAATTCCTGCTGCATCACTGGAAAACCTCTCAGCCGTGATGAGAGTTATTAGTTCTCATTTTCTCTCAAAACTACTGCAGAATAAAGGGGTTGGTGTGGACAGGAATTCAGAGAAATTTTTTCCTCCTCACTTCCAGCAATAGGCGATTATTTTTTTCTTGACAAAAATCAAATTGTGGTTGAGGGCAGTGGGTGTAACACATCCTGGGTGCAGGAAGGAGCAGGGGGGCACCTGGATCTTCTATAACCTGGAGATCAGAAGGTCTCCTTTGGGGCAGGAGAGCGCGGCAGCCGGAGCAGCGGGGCTCAGGGGAGGCAGGACTCGGTGTCTTGTCCCAGGAATGTCCCCCTGCAGCCTTTTGACCTGCAGCACCATCACAGCTCACCCAGAAGCTGGGGCCCCTTCCGAGTGTGAGCCCGGTGGCCGTGGGGCTCACAATAGTGGCATTCAGAGCTGCTGTCCTGCCGCGGTGGCACGGGGAAGGTCCTGATGGAGCCAGCACAGCAACTGTGCCAGAGCAAGGCCAAGCCAGGCAAAGGGAGCAGCAAAGGACCGCGGCGGTGGCCAGGAGCTGCAGCCACTCCATCCAAGCCTGTCCCACAGAGGGGGGTGGGAGAAGGGCACAGCCAGGAGGATAGTTGTTTTGCCGCTTGCTCTTAACCATAAATCTTCATTCCTCTCCTCTGTTTTCCTCCAAACTCAGAACTTTCTCCAGGTTTGGGATCCATCGGTGGGGAATTCCACCACCAGGCACCTCGGAGGGGGCTTTAGGAAGAGCATTACATGAATAAGTGCATCCCCAAGCTGTGAAGGGCACAGCCAGGAGGATAGTTGTTTTGCCGCTTGCTCTTAACCATAAATCTTCATTCCTCTCCTCTGTTTTCCTCCAAACTCAGAACTTTCTCCAGGTTTGGGATCCATCGGTGGGGAATTCCACCACCAGGCACCTCGGAGGGGGCTTTAGGAAGAGCATTACATGAATAAGTGCATCCCCAAGCTGTGGGGTGTCCCTGCCACGGCACTAATGGGTCCTTCTCCTTGGCCTCCCCGCAGCAATGTCACCTCTTTAACTGCAAAATGTCTTAGTTATGAGAAAAATGATGTAAATCACATGAGCATCACCCAGCATTTTATCAAAGTGAATCATTACTCCACCAGGGAACACCAAACCCTCCGTGCTGATGGGGAAACTGAGGCAGGAGGGAGAGACCCCAGGAGCTGCCCAGCTTTACATCGAGTCAGCATCCCCCAGCTCAGCACCGGCCGCCCCCCCCCCCCACCCCCCCAGCAAAAAACCACCCAGAAAAGGACAGGGAGCAGTAAATGAGATCAACAATGGCTGCGGTTTCCCCACGCTGCGGCGCTGAGGGCCGGGAGGAAGGAAGCAGCAGCTGGAGAAGGGCCAAGTCCCCGCTTGGCAACGCGGTGACCTTGAGACAAGGTGCTCCCTGCCTGCAGCGAGTGATGGAGCAAAGCCCTGGAGATGGAGAACATCCCCGTGGAGAACATCCCCGTGGAGAACATCCCCGTCAGCCCAACCAGAGCCCTAAGGAGACACCACCGGGGTGACGCTGCTGGTGGGACCCCCCGGCTGAAATAGTCTGATCCCCCAGGGAACCACAGACCACTGACATGAACCCTGTGTCAGTGGAGATGGTCTTCTCCCAAATAACGCCCTATTTTCCCACAAAACATGCAAATTACTCCCTTTTCACCCATCTGCCTTCACTTATCTCTCCGGATAGCAGCGAGGTGTCCGCTTTCCTCATCTGGAAAGAAGAGTTGAAGCTGAAAACGGAGTCTGCCTCCTCCTGAAGCTGGGAGAACAGCTCCCTTTATCCTCCTGCATGAATAATAGAAGGACTCATTCCCCCTCTTGTAACAGATTAAAAATAAATAAATAAGAAAGAGCTCAATTTTGTTTTGCCAATCAGGCACTTGATGTCATTTTCTCTTCTTGGCCCCTCACGCCCCTGCGTGTGGACTCGCAAAGATTTTAATAAGCTGGAAAGGCCCCAAACCAGTTCTCTCTCATTAAAAAAATATCATCGCACTGACAAAGGTCATTTTTTTCACGTCGACGGTCAAATCCACTTGCTGAATTGAAATCCAGCTGATGGAGAAACTATCAATTTTTAATGGGAGTTTCCCCCCGTCCTGGAGAGAGGAAGCGTCGGGGGGAGAGGGATTTACACACTGGGAGTTTCCCCCCGTCCTGGAGAGAGGAAGCGTCGGGGGGAAAAGGGATTTATACACAAAAAAAGGGGTTGAAGTTTTTCACAACTGCTCCTCTGGCTTCTGTTTCACGTGAAGCTGGAGCCAATTATTTTTAAAACCTGAAGGAGGAATTAACAAAAAGCTGCTGCCCCCACCCCCAGAGTGAGCTTCTTGAGTACAGCCTGTCCCGGGGGGACCTTCCCTTTTCCCAGCGCCCTGCACGGGGTCAGGGCACGGGCACCACGAAGGTTTGTGGCCCCGTCGTGGGACACACAACGTCGGCAGAAGGTCAAGGGTGGGGAGAAAACCCAAAGGAAGATCTGTTCTGTTTCACGTGAAGCTGGAGCCAATTATTTTTAAAACCTGAAGGAGGAATTAACAAAAAGCTGCTGCCCCCACCCCCAGAGTGAGCTTCTTGAGTACAGCCTGTCCCGGGGGGACCTTCCCTTTTCCCAGCGCCCTGCACGGGGTCAGGGCACGGGCACCACGAAGGTTTGTGGCCCCGTCGTGGGACACACAACGTCGGCAGAAGGTCAAGGGTGGGGAGAAAACTCAAAGGAAGATCTGGCCCAGCAGATAAGTGATGCACGTGCTGCAGGGAGGCTGGTGGCTCGAGCCGCGGCTCGTCTCCAGGGGCCGTCCCCGCGCTGACGTCGGCAGCCCAAAACACCATTTATTTGAGTTTAGCCACAACAATTTACACAAACTGCAGCTCTGCCCCTGGGCTTAACACAAAGCTTTTGCCAAGGAATTGAATAATTCTTCCCTTCCCCGGAGTCGCTTTCCCAAGATAGCCCTTTTCCGTGTTTTCTTTTCAGTAAAAACAGAAGGATTCAGAGCTTCCCAAGCTGGGGGCTCAGAGCATCACCCACCCCAGCCTGGGACTGACGTGACTCACGTGCAGGGACCAACCCATTCCCCTCCCACAGCTGGAAAGAGCAACCTGAGCCACTGGAGCATCTGTTGGACAACATCCTGGTGAGGCCCTGGAACAGGTTGCCCAGAGAAGCTGTGGCTGCCCCATCCCTGGAGGGGTTCAAGGCCAGGTTGGAGGGGGCTTGGAGCAACCTGGTCTGGTGGGAGGTGTCCCTGCCCAGGGCAGGGGGTGGGATGGGATGAACTTTAAGGTCCCTTCCCACACAAATTCCCACCTTGAGTACTGTGTCCAGTTTTGGGCCCCCTACCATAAAAAAGACATTGAGGGGCTGGAGCG